GCTCCACTGCTCGCCACGGGGGAACCAGGTCCTGAGAAAAACGGGTCCCGCGGCATCTTGCAGTTTTGCGGGCCTCGAAGCCCTCCTCGGGCCCCAGGACTGTCTGGGAGCGACCCAGGATGAAGAACTCGTCTCGGGGGAGGTCTCGGGGTCCAGGTCCCGTTTCTCTCGGGACCCGTCTGCCCCATGCCAAACGGCGGGGGCTCCCTCCCGCCGAGGACCCCGGGCACCCTTCGAGGTTCGAAGTCCCCGATGGTCTTCGGGCGTCTTCGTGGGTCATCGGCGGCTCTCCAGCCTCGGGGCGCTTTCCAGCAGCCGTGCCTCGCCGAGGGCGCTCCAGGGGTGCCCGGATCGTCCCGAACTGCCGCCGGAAGACCGAGCTACGCCCAGAAAACCGAGGGGGCGACGTCAAGGGGGCATAGGCTCAGGTGGAGGGTTCTCCGAAGGGCTTAGGCGACCCCTCCTCCTCCTCCTCCTCCTCCTCCTCCTCCTCCTCCTCCTCCTCCTCCTCCTCCCTTTTCCTCCCTCCTCCTACTCCTCCTCCTCCTCCTGCTCCTCCTGCTCCTCCTGCTACTCCTCCTCGGGTCGCCCACGGCCCCGAGGGAAACCGTGCAGGTTCCCCCCCGAGCTTGCACAACCGACAGCGGCGTGCGACGCACGACGTCGGATGCCTGGGGCGGGAGAAGGATCGAGGAGGGCGGAGGGAGGCAGATAAGGTGTCGAACAGGTGTTTTCGCATGCAAGGTAAGCCTGCCTTTCAGAAATCGTCGTTGCGAGATCCAGGAGGCAAGATTATCGATGAGGCAGGGTTTGGCAGAGGCTCAACGGGCTAGGTGCTCGCATCGAGGAGCAAGGAACATCACACACATGGACGAAGTTCTGGAGCTCCGCGCGGGTTTCTTTGCCCGCGTTGGACCCACCTTGGCGGCGCCTCTGTCGCCGCCCTTGGCGCGCTTCGCGCGCCAGGGATGGAAGTCCAGCGCATACCGAAGAAGTACGCGCGGACCTCCGAAAGTTTCCGCGCACGCCGTGTGAATTTCGTTTATCTTCGAGGGGTCAGGGCTTCCAGAGCGGATCAGGTGGAACAACGCACGTTTCTTTACTAACGCAGATCAGCGTCAGTAATGGGAGTAGACGATTTAAAAAGTCCCCCCCCCCCCTCCCCCACCCCCGGGGTCCCTGATTCTTTTGTGTGTGGGGTGGACGAATAAAATCAGCATCTGAAACTAATTTTTTTAATCGTCCTGTACCCGCCCCCCCCCCCCCCCGCCCCCCCGCCCCGCAAAGCCCCTGGGCTCGCGCCGTGACGGCGTGCCGAAAACTAGCGTTTAAATCGCCTCCCCCCTCCCGTCCCGCCGCATTTTTCAGGCGTCGCTTTGGGGCAGTCACACGCGGCGCAGTTTCGAGGATTCCTTCGGGTCCTTGTAGACACTTTATTACGAGGAGGGCCTGCAGTATTACCTTCATCGTGGTTCGACTTATTTTCTCCGCCTCGCTGCGCGGCGTCTAGATGATACGACTTTGGGGCAGTTTCGTATCAGCCTTCCCCTCTCCCCTCGTCTACTCCCCCGTTCCCTCTTCTCCTCTTCCTCCTGCTTCCGCCGGTGCTTTTGCAACCCTGGGATGACTGCATCATTTAACATTCCCAAAGCTTTCTTCGCCGTTGCTACGCATGCAGCAATTCAACATTCCCAAAACCGACCACCGCCGTCCGACCGCCGCCCGCCGCCCCCCGACCGCCGCCCGCCGCGAGGAACTTCGGTGGAGCTCCCTATGAGACCACGAACGATGCGCCGCATGGTAGTCTTTGATAGGGATGGCGCGAGTGCGCCACGCGGACCCTCCCACTAAGGGCCTTCGGTGGAGCTCCCCCATGGGGCCACGAACGATGTGCCGCATTGAATGATTTGGTGGGGATGGTGCGAGTGCGCCAGGCGGACCCTCCCACTAGAGCCTTCGGTGGAACTCCCTATGGGGCCACGAACGATGTGCCGCATTGAATGATTTGGTGGGGATGGTGCGAGTGGCGTCAGGGACGCTGCCACTAGAGCTGCGGTGGAGCCCCCTCCCCATGGGCACGAAACGTGTCGCACGCAATAGTATTATTGGTGTTTTTTTGGTGGTTTTTATGACGAATGTGCGCCAGGCGACCATCCCCAAGGACTTCGGTGGAGCTCCGTATGGGGCCACGAACGATACGCCTCATGGTATCATTTGAGAGGCACGGCGCGAGTGCGCTACGCGGACCTTTTCCACTTGGGCCTTCGGTGGAGCTCCCTATGGGGCCACGAGCGATGCGCCGCATGGTATTATTTCATGTTGATGACGCGAGTGCGCCAGGCGGACCCTCCCACTGAGGCCTTCGGTGGAGCTCCCTATGGGGCCACGAGCGATGCGCCGCATGGTGTTATTTGATAGGGATGGCGCGAGTGCGCCAGGCGGACCCTCCCACTGGGGCTTTCGGTGGAGCTCCTTATGGGGCCACGAACCGTGTGAGGAGTCAGGGGGAATGAGGGAGGACGAGGGAGGAGGGAGGAGGGGAGGAGGTGGAGAAGGAAAAGGAGAGAAGGAGACGCGGCGTCTCAAGGAAAACGAGGTCCAACTAGGCAGGTGGTTGGGGGAGGAATTATCCCAGTGCGACCCTACCTAGGAGTTGGAGCCCCTAGGAAAGCAGCATTAGTAGTAACAGTAAAGCTAAGCTAAAGCTAAGCTAAAGCTAAGCTAAAGCTAACCTGAAGCTAAGCTAAAGTCAAGCTAAAGCTAAGCTAACACTAGTCTAACAATAAGCTAAAGCTAAGCTAAAGCTAAGCTGAAGCTAAGCTAAAGCTAAGCTAAAACTAAGCTAAAGCTAAGCTAAAGCTAAAGCTAAATATAAGCTAAATCTAAGCTAAAGCTAAGCTAAATCTAAGCTAAAGCTAAGCTAAAGCTAAGCTGAAGCTAAGCGACAGCTAAGCGACAGCTAAACTAAGGCTAAGCTAAAGCTAAACTAAAGCTAAGCTGAAGCTAAGCTAAAGCTAAGCTAAAGCTAAGCTAACGCTAAGCTAAAGCTAAGCTAACAATAAGCTAACAATAAGCTAAAGCTAAGCTAAAGCTAAGCTGAAGCTAAGCTAAAGCTAAGCTAAAACTAAGCTGAAGCTAAGCTAAAGTTAAGCTAACACTAAGCTGAAGCTAAGCTAAAGCTAAGCTAAAGCTAAGCTTGAGCTAAATCTAAGCTAAAGCTAAGCTAAAGCTAAGCTGGCACTAAGCTGAAGCTAAGCTGAAGCTAAGCTAAAGCTAAGCTAAAGCTAAGCTAAGGCTAAGCTAAGGCTAAGCTAACACTAAGCTAAAGCTAAGCTAAAGCTAAGCTGAAGCTAAGCTAAAGCTAAGCTAAATCTAAACTAAAGCTAAGCTAAAGCTAAGCTAACACTAAGCTGAATCTAAGCTAAAGCTAAGCTAAAGCTAGGCTAAATCTAAGCTAAAGCTAAGCTAACACTAAGCTAAAGCTAAGCTAAAGCTAAAGCTAAAGCTAAAGCTAAGCTAAAGCTAAAGCTAAGGCTGAAGCTCCCAGGGGACTGGGGGAACCGCGGGGCGGGGACTGGGGGAACCGCCCGGGGCGGTTAGCACTGCCCGGCCCTTCAAGCAAAGAGAGTAAGAACCCTTCTAGGCAGAGCCTAGGTAGGGAAAAAAGACGTGGGAGGGTATATTGGGATTGGGGAAATCGGGAGGCAGGGTGGTCAGCCCTCGGCGTTCAGCCTTCCCCATGCCGCTCGAATTGTCGCCCCTCCGTTGGCCGAGCCCCCTCTCCCCTTTTTGTGGGGGCACCCAGGCCGGCGAAACTATTTGTTTAATCGTCCGGCCCCAAATCTTTTTTTAATCGTTTACTCCCATTGCCGAACACAATGGTTCAACCCCGCGAGTACCCGCGATGTTACTGTTTTTCTCCCTCCTGCTACTCGGGAGCCCCCAAACGGTGCGGTGACCACATCGAGTGGTCACTGCACCCTTTTCCTACCTAGGCTCTGCCTAGAAGGGTTCTTACTCTCTATCTTAAAGGGGCTGGGCAGTGTAGAACGCCCCGGGCGGTTCCCCCGGCATCCGCCCCGCGGTTCCCCCAGTCACGCCTCCTTAGCTTAGCGTTGTTTATCTCATCTTTGCTTAGCTTATTTCACTTTAGCTTAGCTTAGCTTCATCTTAGCTCAGGTGTGTCTTAGTTTAGCGTACCTTCATTTTAGTTTCGCTGAGCTTTAGCATAGCAGAACACAGCATAGCATAGCAGAGCGTAGCATAGCATAGCGCAGCACAGCGTATCATAGCACAGTCCAGCACATTATAGCATAGCGCAGCATAGCATAGCATAGCGCAGCACAGCACAGCATAGCACAGCAAAGCATAGCATAGCATAGCAGAGCAGAGCATAGCATAGCATAGCATAACATAGCCAAGCGTATCCAAGCATCTCATACCATAGCAGAGCGCAGCATATCATATCATATCATAGTATAGCCTAGCTCAGATCAGCATAACATAACATAGCGCAGCTTAGCTTATCATAGCACAGCGCAGCATGACATAGCATAGCTTAGCGCATCATAGCATAGCATAGCGCAGCATATCATTGCATGGCATAGCATAGCACAGCATAGCATAGCATAGCATTACGCAGCATAGCATGGCATAGCAGAGCATAGCATAGCAATTAATGCTGCTTTCCTCGGGGCTCCAACTTCTAGGTAGGGTCGCACTGGGGTAATTTGGGACTCGGGTCGTTCTCGGAGGACGTCTCGGGCGACCGGGGCCGCCGAGATCGCAAATCCGCGTGGGATTCCGAGGTTGCCACGCGATCCGTTCTCACACAGTTTTGGGGCCCTGAGCTTCTCATTTCCTAGCTGTGGCTTCGTCTCGTCTCCACCACCACTTCCATTATCATAAATTCCTTTTCCTCCTAAACAACTTCTCCCTGTCGCACCCCGAGGGCAGTTTTTAGGGCGGACCGGGCGTTTCGCTTGAGACTTCCTCACCTT